CTCGGTGATAAGTACACAGAACAAAAATACCGAGGTTCGTGAACCTTGTTTAAAATTTACAAACTGAACCGATAGATTATCATTTTTTATGTATTATCCGTTCTTCCTTGTTAATCTTCGTGTCAAATTAGTCGCCTAATCATAGATCCGCCTGTTTCGCAACGGTCGTGTAGAATATTCCTTATCACGGGAGAGATATAACCACTTTCCACTCCTTTTTTTTAAGGGAATTGAAAAAAAAGTTTCGACATGTGTTGATCAGCGCCTTTTTAATAGAAACTCCGAAACGGTGCAGAGTCATAGGATGTCATCATGATTCGCTTTATCACAATTTATCTTCCGCCTATGTGCTTGGGTAACTTCGACTATTCAAAATGATGGTGCATTCCTACATGATCCGACCTTTCCAATTATACAATGAACACTTTTATGACCCCCAGTTGAATTAACACGATTGTCATAACCCGAAGTGAAAACAGATTGCATCGTTCTGCCACCTCCCCTCTCCTAAAAAAATATTACAAATTTCATTCATTGCAGCTTTTGTCACTTTCGCCGCGGAATAGAATTTGAGATCATAGGTAAAGTGAAAAAGGAAAAGGAATGGGCAGAGAGAGAGAGAGAGAGAGAGAGAGAGAGAGAGAGAGAGAGAGAGAGAGAGAGAGAGAGAGAGAGGGAGAGAGAGAGAAGGAGAGAGAAGGAGAGAAAGAAAGAGCAAGAGAGAGGGAAAAACAAAGAGAAAGAATGAGCAAGAGATCGGGAAAAAGAGAAAGAACAAAATAAGAAAAGAGAGAGAAAGAGAAAGNCCTGAAGATGATCTCAATAAAGATCGAAACGTTGGCACGATAAAGAAAATGTTTTTCTGAAACCTACATCACACCAGACCGCATCTCACGATTTCTGAATAATAATAAAGGGTAATGAAGAGACCGACAATCTTACCAAATTAACATGAACTGACGTTCAAATTTGGTATTCAATAAACTTCCAAAATCATTAATTTAAAAACCTTTTTCAAGAGAGTCTTCTAATATTGGAAAATGTTTGCTCAATTACAAACCATGGAAGGTAGACAATTTTTTTCCAAAGTTGGCAATAGATTAAAAGAGCCCCATTTAAAAGGACCAAATATTTTATTACGCTTGCACCTTAAATAAACATCGGACTACCTAGTTGATCAAAATACTGACCATCTAAAAGTTAACCGATGCCATCCTACAACTCCAAGCACAAAGACAAAAGAGGTGACGGGACTCATAGTTTCGATAAAAGAATAATGAATTTTCACTGCCCATGCTACATTTGTGTTATTAATACAAACAGCTCCACTCCATGAAAAATCACTGCTACTCTGACTGGCCTTGACTGTGGCCCTTTAACCTCGAGTTGTCTCTTACTCAACGCTGATATGACCCTTAGTGGTCTTTGGTTAGTGGTTCTTTGCCTCTTTAAGATTTTTTTAAACGAAAATCTACACTTTAAGGTATTTTTAGCATTTGTAGTGCACTGCACAATTTGTAAGTTAAAAAATTCCTGAATGAAAAATGCACGAATTGTTGCGGACCCATAGTTTACTTTTGCAATTTCAACTCAAATGATGTTTACATACTTGTGAATACCTGAGGGTAATCGGTTGGATGATTTCTAAACAATTCGCCTTGTTATTTAAATGGCAATTTTATCGCGATTTATGTTTCTATTTTATTAATTGTGTTTTTATGATTTGTTCTGGAGATAGGAGCTTCGGTAAAAACGATTGTTTATCCATGAGCTTTTACAACCTTTAATGGCCATCGTTTCAAGTTATCGGCGGTGAATCTTGAAGGAGGAAATTACCTGGGAGGGAGGTGAAATAAAATGCATATTTAGGACCAATAAACTTTACAACCGTGGTGCTTTACGTATTCGTAATTATGTTTATGTGGTGTGAAGTACTGTTATTTAGTGGCTGCGACAGAAGTGACTTGCAAAGAAGAAGAGCTGAAATAAGTCAACGAGGATCAAATTGAAATCTCTATTCACAAAGCATTTTCAGTAGTTTATGTTTGAATAGAAAACACTTTATACTATAACTCAAGAAATTTGATTAACGGCATATCCGACGTAAATTTACGTGACTTTTAACCGTCTAAAATAAATAAGTGTCGTACGTAAACATAACTCGTACTAAAAATAACGTACGCAAAGCTACAAAAAAACTCACGTAATACCCAAATAAGTATAAACAAACTTGCACACACTTGATATGCACACTCACAGCGATATAAACAGATATTCATAACATAAAAATTCTGTACAATCATGCAAACAACTATGTAAAAATAAATAATTTTGTTTTCATAATATTTATTAATAGAAGGAATATGTTTAAATTTATGTTAATTAAGTTATATAATTTTTAAGGTCAAATTTTGAAGAAAAAAAATTTAACATAAATAAACAAAGTGAGGACTAAATTAGGGTTGAAAACACATATACGTCAAGAATGAAATTCGTTAAGAAAACACAAACTAGTCTATCTCGAAAATAGCCCGTCATTAGCAGTGACGTTCATAGTCTATTTTGAGTCGAATTTCTTTTTTCTAAGAGAAAATCAACCGAGGGGGTAAACAAATTGTTATCGCCAGCTCTTTTCACAGATTTTCGATGGGTGTTAATTTTAAAAATGGGCAATAACAAAAAGAAAATAGAGAAAGAGAGAGAAAAAGAACCACATGTATTAAACGAACGTCCTTGGGACCTGACCTTTAGACCTGATCTTGTTACATCATTTTTCTCATCGTGTAATACTTTCACCGGAGGCTGGTGTTTTTTTCCCTCTTATCGGGTGCTGTCACCGTTCAACCGTAGCATAACTTGTTGTAAAACATAAGCACAACAGCCGTCTTTCATTTTGATGGCTTTCAACACTATTTAACTTTTTATTATGACAGACTGTAAATTCGTTCGAGGAGGGGAAGAGAGTGAGAGAGATAGATTGACAGATAGAGAGTCAGTGAGTGAATAAGGGAGAGAGAGTGAGGGACGGAGTGAGAGAGAGAGAGAGAGAGAGAGCGAGAGAGAGAGAGAGAGAGAAAGAGAGAGAGAATGTGTGAGTGAATGAGTGAGAGCGAGAGAAAAACAGAAAGAGAAAGGGTGAGAGAGCAAGTAAGTATAAGAGAAAAAAGTGAAGGAGTTAATAAAAAAGGAGATGGATAAAATGAAAGTTGAAAAGCAAGAGAGATTGTGTGAGTTAGAGAGAAAAAATAAGAAAGGGTGTGAGAGTGAGAGAGAGAGAAAGAAAAAGGGAGAAAGAGAGGCAGGAATAGAGCGACAGAATAAGAAAAAGTGAGAGAGTAAGTAAGTGAAAGGGAAAATGGATGAAAAGAGAGAAATGGGCGAAGGTGGTCGCAACGGTTTAGGCGTTGACACGGTGCTCATCACTGTAAGGTAAAGGTCCCGGGTTCGAATCCAACGGCCCTGCATTCGAACCCGACATACTTACAAATGGGCTTTTTTTCAAAAACACCGGCACCCTGAGGGTTTATATGACCTCTGCTGTTGCAAACCCTCGTTTAAAAAAAGAGAAGGATTTAGTGAGAGAGGACGGATAAAAAGGAAGTGGAGAACAAAATAAGAAAAGAGAGAGAAAGAGAAAGAGAGAAGGAAAAAGAAAGAGCAAGAGAGAGGGAAAAACAAAGAGAAAGAATGAGCAAGAGAAAGGGAAAAAGAGAAAGAACAAAATAAGAAAAGATCGAGAAAGAGAAAGAGAGAAGGAAAAAAGAAAGAAACAAAGAGAGAGGGAGAAACAAAGAGAGAGAATGAGCAAGAGAGAGGGAAAAAGACAAAGAATGAAAGAAAGAAAGAGAGAGAGACAGAGGGAAAGAGATACAAGAGATAGAGGGAGAGATAAATAGAGAGGGAGAAAGAGAAAGAAGGTGAGAGAGAGAGAGAGAGAGAGAGAGAGAGAGAGAGTGAGAGGGAGACACAAAGAGAGATAATGAGCAAGAGAGAGGGTAAAAGAGAAAGAACGAATAAAGAAAGAGAGAGAAAGAGATACAAGAGGTAGAGGGAGAGATAGATAGAGAGTGGGAAAGAGAGAGAAGGATAGAGAGAAGGACAGAGAGAGAGAAAGAGATACAAGAGGTAGGGGGAAAGATAGATTAGAAAGTGGAAAAGAGAGAGAAGGAGAGAGGGAGTGATACAAACAGAAAGGAGAAGAGACAGAAATTAGATATAATAGGTGGATGGATAAACAGAATGAAAGAGATACAGAACAAGAAATAGAAATAGTGATAGGCAGATAAATAGAGGAGGAGTAAGAGAGAAGGAAAAAGAGAAAGAACAAGAGAGAGAGGGAAAAAGAGAAAGAAAGATGTAGAGAGAGAAACGTAGAGAGATAGAAAGAGATACAAGTGATAGAAGGAACGATAAATAGATAGGGAGTGAGAGAGAAGAGAGAGAGGGGGAAGTGACTGAGAGAAAGAGTGAGGGAGAGAGAGAGAAAGAGCACAAGAGAGAGAAAAAGAAAGAAAAAACGAGAGATAAACAAAGAGAGAGGTAGATGGAAGAAGGTGGAGAGAGAGAGATGGAGTGAGAAGAGAAGAGAAGAGAGAGTGAGAGAGAGAGCGCCATTGCCAAGCCTTTTTTTTCCTTACTTCAGTTTATAGTCTTGAAAATAAAATCTAGTTTTGTAACGAAAAAAGGTTTCTCTCATCAAGACTTTTCATCAAGTTAAAAAATACTTCTCTAATCCAGTCGAGCGGAAAAACAAAAACCGATTAAAAGCATGGGGTTAAAAAAAATTATGGACTGTCGTAGACAATTTTCTCTAAACTCTCATTTAACTCTCAAAGGTTAACAACTTTCCGATTGCCATGATTATCAATTATATCGGGATGACAAATATTGGTTAATTATTGCACATAATTAGTGTTAAGTTTTAAAATTTTTGTCAGAATTTAAATGCCTGATAGGACAGAATGTTTAAGCGAATAAAAGAAAGTAATAAATCGACTTACCGGTAGACGAAAGGGCCGACCTCCTGGAGTCTCGGTTTTTCACCCTGGTTCAAGAAACCGTCCGGGTTTGTGACATTGAAGACCCAGACCTTGGTCAGCCTCAGCACCCCGGGCTGCCTCCAGTAGTAGTAGCTCAGCGTCCCGTTCCAGAGCCGTAGTTGCTGAAAAAAAGAGAAAAAAGATTATTGGCCGGGTCTAACAACAGCCTGATGACGATCATGCAACCCGGTTCGAAAGATGTTGCCAAACTGGATTTGGCATTATGGAAAATATTTCTAAATACGGAGGCTGTTGTTTTTTATCTGGGTCAGGAATTTATGAACGTCCTCTCCGCTCTATGAACGGTTTAAGAAAATTTTCCTCCTTCTGATATTCTCGCTAGAGCAATTTTTAATAACTGTCTTTGTTTTTATGTAATTCTTGATAAACGACATGATCATTACAAATTAAAAGCCTGTTCTCACTTTATGTCAGCCTAGAATTGGGGCTATAGTTCACGCCTATATTCCAAACTATGACAGTTTGTAGAAAAAAATCGTAGTTTCTTTAATTGCATGCAACAAGGTTTTTATCATGTTACAAATTTGCCACAAGAAGGAATTGATAAAAAAATTTGAGTGACCATAATCTGGTCCGACTGTTCTCGCTTTGTGTTTCGATCAGGCCAGGATTGTGCCATTTTGAGTGAATGTATACCTATTTATGGGATCTTAGCTAATCCACTTGGTTATTATACTTTTAAGTAATAAGAAAAACAGAAAATAAGGGTACACAATTAAACGTTGGGATTGAGGACATAATTTGAGTGACGCTTATCAATCTGGTCCGTCTGTTCTCGCTTTGTGTTTTGGTCAGGCCTGCATTGTGACATTTGTTGTGTTTGCCTACGTGTTTATTGGATCTTCGCTAATCCACGTGAGATTTATAATTTAAGTAATAAGAAAAACAGACAATAAGGGCACACAATTAAAAGTTTGGATTGATGACATAATTTGAGTGACGCTTATCAATCTGGTCCGTCTGTTCTCGCTTTGTGTTTTGATCCTGCCTGCATTGTGACAGTTCTTGTGTTTGCCTACGTGTTCATTGGATCTAATCCACTTAGTTATTATAAATTTAAGTAATAATAATCAGGCATGATTGCTTCATGTTTAATCAATGTGTCTGCGTTTAAAAAATCTTAGCTTATGTATTGTGTTGTTATATATTAAAGTAAGAAGAAGGGCAGAAAGTAGAAGAACTAAAACACGATAATTGTGGTCATAATCATATTTTTATATTACTTGTTTGACTTTACGTTTTCCTTCGTTATGTTTGCATCCATATTGTATTTTTTATAATAGTTTATATACAGTTTCGTCATAAATAATATCAGTTACCTTTCAGTTAAAGTTTGTCAGTGTAAAGTTGTAGCCAATATAAATTTTGAGAATAGCTCATCATGATCAATGTTTTTTTTAAAAAGGACCTCAATGTTCCTCAAAACTCTTGAAAGCATAAACGTTACTTATGTAATTTTGTTCGCCGCGTGATTTGACTGTTCGTGGCGTGCAGTTTTTTACAGATGGAATCAACCTTGCAGGTGGAATGACAGGATCCATCAAACTGGACAAGAATCGACCTATTGTTTGGCGCAAATTGCCTTTGGAGTAGAATCCTTCGTTGGACCTTACGAGACTAAGATTCCCGGCGTTTCGTCATCGAGCGTCCGGTGAAGGTGCAAGGCTGCGGGCCTTGACAATGAAAGTTCAAAAGCGCTGGGGACGAAGAGTAACAGACAGTGGATGACCTACTTGTACATTGAAAAAAATTATATAATGCTGGCTGGAAAATACGCGCGAGAGGGCGATCAAGTACTTTAACAAGTGTTACGAAAGGGAATTAACAAAAAATAAAAAACTCCAAGAACAATTCAAATATTAAAAAACCTACGCTCACCAAAGGCCGATCAGAGAGTAAATTAAAAAAATAGAAAAAATATTGTATTAATTTGCTATCTTGGTGACGTTAGTTCCTCGAAGGTTTTTTCCCGACAAAAGAACGGCTGGGAAGGTAAAAAGGTGTAACGGCATAAAGAGTTTTAAACTTAAGATGGAGGTCCTAAATAACACATGTATTAAATGAACGTGAGGAACCAAAGGGCTGCACTGAAAGTAAATAAAAATGAGGGTGCACGGATGAAAACTTCAAAAAATTGTGGGTTGACGATACTGTTGACTGGAGCTTCGGTGTGACAAAACACACTGAAGATGCGACTGTCAGACCAGATAGGCAGACCAAAATGATCTTTAACGACCAAATTACTTTTTTTTTTCAATGTTCGAGTTGGTGTCTGTTCAGTATGTTCGCACTTTCTCGACATTGGAAAAAATTTCGATGTTTGTTTATATCATTTTGCGCGTATTTGTATCTTTCATTATGTGTGTTTTTTACACCACGAGCAAACTCGATATGTTTACAACTTTCACACCGAAAAGTATTCTTCTTTTAATTACATTTTCTTTTTAAACAGAAAAGCGATTTTCTTTGTTTTACGAGTTTAATCTGCCGTCAAAGATCTGATATTGAGTAATTTGCGACAAAACATATTTTCCTGATTTTCACATGCAAGGACTCTTTTTCTTTTTCTGCAATCGGTGAAGTGTAATTATTATTATTTTTATGTTTAACAAGGGTGAATCCGTCATAAAAACATTTAGCCTCGCATAGTTTATGATATCTGATTTTTATGTTTTATTGACATATTTGAGACCAAACGGTTTTGCGTTTCAATTTTAACATTCAAGGGTCTTTGTTTTATTTATTTATTTAAAATCAAATTTCCTATCACCAAATTATAATAAAAATCACTTCTACCAACCGTAAATTCTCTGTCGAAAGATTTAACTCTACACCCTGTAGTCGGATCGGAGAGTACGAGCATTTCTTAAATAAAGCTTTTAAATAAAAGCTTTTTCCACCCTCCAAGCGATGTATGAATTAAAAGATAAGAATCAGCAACCAAATTATATTGGATTAAAATTCACGTGGGTTTCATTTCTCCAAAGGATCTATACTTCATTTCTAGAACAAGACTGCAAATAGTTAGACAAATTAAGTACCCTGACTCTGAAAAAAGGACACAATGTGTCATAAACAAAAGGATATTTCCTCTGGATGGCAGACACCCGCGGTACCTACTGGCAGCCTACACAAAATTTCCTACATTAGCCCTATGGTGTCTGTGGAAAATATCCCTGGAAAATCCAGCGTGCCTGACATTTCAAACAGAAGAAGAGGATCTTTAACACCTAATCACAACCTGCCCCAGAATCGTATAACGAGTGAAGTGCCAGAATGTGAAATTTGAACAAAACTGGATTTGAAGTAGAAATTGTGTAAATTTTAACATAAGTTTAGGTCGTTAAATCGATGTATATATTTTTGCCTTTAAAAGAAAACAAGACCTCTAGAAGAGTTTATCATATTTTTTTTTTTACGTTTTATCTTGTAGAAAATTTTGTCTGCGAGTGATAATCCAGTCTGATCGTTTCCGATGATCCTGGGCCAACATATTTTCTTTTTTTTTTTTTGTCTATTCATCTGTAAGACGCGTTTGTCATTTTTTGTAAATAGTTCGAACCTAGAAAAAGGGCGAAAAGATGGAAAACAGCACAGATCGACCACTGTAGTAGGTGAAATACTACGCTGACAGACCAAACCAGCGAAGAAAGTCGGATGATCAACACCTTAATAACAATTATTATAAAGTTTATGGTATGAACATTACATTTGATAAAAAGCAATGCATAAATAGACAATACGGCTAAGTTCTAATTCACTAAATATTATATCAGAACACTCATACAAACACACACATGCACACAGGGAATAAAAGAAACCTATTCTACACCTAGCCTAATTTGACAAGTCTATGGCGTACTCTATATTAAGCCGCATAACCTTCCACTTAGACATTCCGTTCCCGAGAACTCATCGTCAACAAGACAAGAGGATCTTTAGCGTCCGCACCTGGCCTATTCGGCCTTATCGGACGTTTTGATTCTCAAGATGAGAGCTGACGCACCTCCGCATACGACGGAATGGTGTTACCGCCGCAGCATTGGTGTAGAGGCGCCCCAGCCCCTAAGGGCCGAGACAACCTCGCTCTCCGCTTGTCCACTCCGAATGGTCGGGCCCGCATTGTGCATCGGGTCGTATGCCGCACGCAAAGGGCTAACAGGCCGAAATACATCAGCCTGTTCTCCCGCGTACTCCCTAGATAGAGAAGGCCACTCTATCTCCCTGAGTATAGGGGCTCCCCTAGCGTAGAAACTTCCGGGAACGCCCCGGCAGCGGTTTAGTTTAAAGTGGAATTGCTAACCACACCCTAGATGAGCACCGCCTACGGTAAAGTCTCTTATCGAGCTCAGCCTACACCTGCCATGCGCATTCGAGGGACGCCATAGGCTCAGCCTAGGTGGTCCGATCCTTCGCTTCCCCAAGGGTACCACGCCGGTCATACGCACAACAATGCATAGCATACGCGAGTCCGAGATACCGATTCACTACCCGTTTCCGTTCGCTTACTCATGCATTCGAGGGACTATTCAGCATGATCATTGCGTCCTCAACGCTTACACGCTGTCGTCCTGTCGCAACCTCTCCCGTGAGGCCGGGGGTAATTACGCTGGCCATACGCAAGCTTCACGAAGATCACAGATTGAAGACAGCCTCTGTCTAAGTTCCCGCCAGGGGCGTCACCACGCGCCACCACGCGCCACCACGAAACCTTTCCCAATGTAACTTTGGATTGATTTTGAAACATTTAAGTTACCCCGTGGTACAGACGGCCATACACCCTCCCTCGTCTATGCAGACAGGATCTAGTGCACTGGCTCCACCTCTGCTAAGGCACCCGCCGCCCATGCCAACCCTAGGCCGACACGAGTACAGCTTGTTCTTTAGAGAGGTTGCCACGCCCTCTGGGCTGCACCTTTATTTTGTGCCCGGATACCCCCTTTGCAACCAAGGGTTGGGTGGGGTCACAGGATAGAATGAAGGATCTCGGATTGAGAAAAAGGGCCGTGGATGAAAACACGAGGTTAGTCGTTTCGGGGTCTCTAGTATCAAACCACACTGTACCACCCGTCGTCGTCGTAGTTCCACACATAGTAGGCCA